AGTTGCCTTTCTAGCCCAAGACTTTACAAGTACATATTGTATTGAAAAGTGTTTCCAAATAAGATCAGCACTTATTTTATTCACTTTGAGATATCTAGTGAAAATAGATATCCACTGCTGATAGATCAGATATATTTTCATATTCTACAAGTCTTGCTGCCCCTTGGCATCCTATCTACTGACACCATTCATTCATATGTTTGGGAGGATGAGAAATAATAACTACAACAAAAGGATCACTGTTCAACTTGAATTGTGAGATACTAAGTTTTGAGAGTTAGCCTCTGTCAAAGAGAAAAGACATTTCTAAATTTTGTATGTTTTTATCACTGTATCAAGAGCCCTAACATACTTGACCATGGAAATTTACCCTAAGGGAGACTGGAGAGCACAAGCTTTAAGGAAAGTCCATGCCACCTGGGAAACTGGAAAACAGCACTGCCTGCAGTCGCTAGAGAGCAGGCCTACGGTTCAGCAGCTGAACGGCATGGGAGAGTGAGAGCACATCCTAAGCAAGGTGAGGTGAATATGTTAATGGGCTTAAGGTAATTCTCCCGGTTCCTTTGACTTGTGGGTACTGTGAAGGGGGACCCAGAAGTTTTTCAGCCTAGAAATAAGAGGTAGGGGCTGCTGGCAGGGCTGCCGGGAAGACAGAAATGCCACACAGTGTAGGTACTTAATGAACCGAAGCAAAATGCCTGGGACCACAGCTTTCGTCTCTGGATGACACACAGGGCTCCAGTAAAATGTGACCAGTGAAAACTCAAGGAACTCTGGTCCAGGACCAAAATAGGTAGATACCTTAATGCAAAACCAGCAAAGACCAGAGGTCTCTTTCTCCAGTATCACAAGGGTGACTTATGTCTATATGGAAGGACAGAAGGACCACAAGGAAGGCAAGGAACTCTAGAAGACTGAACAGTTACTCCAGGAGACTATCTACATTTTCTGCGTACTTGCAGTTGTGTGAGTAAATGTACTTGTATGAAAACACAACACATTTATCTTATGTTTCAGAAGAGAAAGAAATTCTGGGGAAGCTTTTACCGCAGCCTGGACTTGCTGCAGAATCTTCTTTTGCTCTGGACATCATTCCAAACTGACTTTGTAGATGGTAGAGGTAACACACTCAAATGTGGGATATGTTGCCTCCAAAATTTAAGAAAAGCTTACTAAGCCCACTAAAATGATCTTTTGTCATGGTAGGCCATGCAAGTTGCAGCAACTTCCTTTCACCTCAGAGGGAATATTGCAATATGCTCTAGACCGTTGAACTTCCAGAAACTGCACTAAAGTGGTGGGCTCCTGAATTTTTGTGCAATTTACCTTCCATTCCCTAGTTCACAAGAGTCTTACTAAAGCATCTAAAGTACTTGCTAATTTTCTTATCAGACACAATCAGCACAGTGTCATCAAAGTAATGGATCAGTGCGATGTTTTGTGGGGTGTCAAGATGATCAAGTTCTTAATGGGCTATTGTGGCAGAGAGCAGAAGAACTGACATAGAGCCCTGAGGTAAGATAGTGAAGGTGTATTTCTGTCTCTGCCGAGTAAAAGCAAACTGCTTCTAGTAGTCCTTTCAAATGGGTATTGCATTGTAATTTACTATTTAAATTCTGCTTCTCCCATGAATCTGTAGGTTTCTCAAGGATAGATATCCTGTTTTACTCCTTTTCATTCCCACAATCTATATACCTATACATAGAAAGGACACCATAAGTGTTGACTAAATGAATGAAGTAAATAACTCAGACACCATAACCAAGCAAAAAATGAATTAAGGCAGAAGCTAGTTGATTTGGGGCATGGATGTAGAATGGAAAAAGATTCATAGATGAACTTCAAGTGGTCTTTGTACCTTCTGAATGGAACATAAATACATTTCTCTGTGTGTGTACCCACATACTGTGCCAGACACTCCTCTCTCTCTACTGACAGAGCCCAGTTCTGTTGTGCTATCATTAGATATCCTTGATACTAGGTAAGGTAGACTGCTACCCCAGGCTCAGAGAATCATAGTTGGCTCAAATCAGTCAAAGGAATTCAAGTTCATCGTCGTCAGCAAATGATCAAGTAGTAAACCTGGAGTGTGACCTAGAGTGACTAAGTGTGGCCCAGTTCTGGATTATGAGGAGAGTGGAGGGAATTGTCCTCTTAGCATAAAAGACAAAGCCCTATGAGGAGAAACTCTTTTGATTCTGTCCTTCTTTCATTGGACATATTTGTGTAAACACAAAATATTTTGAGCTCTGGAAGTCACGAGACATCCAACACGTTGAACACAGCAAAACAGAAAGAGATGGAGCCTGGGTCCTGGGTGAAACTATTGAACCACTGCACACAACTGGAAATTATCTACCTCCGGAATTTTTTCATATGAGATTACATTTATTTATTGTTTTAGCCAATCTTACATGGATATTTTGTGTCTTGGAGGGAAAATAATTTTTAATGGATTTTTTGTGGAAGACATTATACTTTAATCACTCTTAAAGAGACCGTGGCACATAAACTATTAAAGACACTTATTTCATGTAAGTGAAATAAAAAGCCCAATTTACCTTGCCAAAAGAGTAACACTCTTCACTGATGCTAATCCATAGAGCAGTTTATCTTTTTCTTGAGCTAATGGAGTTTTCTGGTATTGCTCAAGAGTGTAGTTCCATGAAGTCTCATTGCCAGAGTTCTGCATCCCATACCGATACACCAGAAGCCTGAGATTTACAGGAACACTAGAAGAAGAAACGGTGTTTCAGAGACTTCAGTTGCTCTTTTCTCAGTTCAAAGTCTTCTAGAAATAAAACAAGGCGAGTAGTCACCTTTCATTCCCACTTAGCCACTTCTCAAATAACTGGGAAGCGTTGCTCAGGGCTTCTCTGTCTCCCATCTTGCATGCCAGCCCCAGCACAGAGGCACGGAGTAACCTTAAAAAAACAAAACAAAACAAAAAAACCCCAAAGCCAGGACCTTAAGCACTTTTAAACATGTCTTAAAACACACAAACAAATGTCAAATGAATACTAATTTTAAAAAGATGAAAAATAACTTTGTGAGATGATCTCCAGTATCGGTCCATGCCAGAGAATCTGCAATGGGCTTCACCTGACCTTGGAAGTATTCCTGAAATAAAAGAGTCACATGCAATGAGTAATAACTTACTGCTTATCAACAATATCCCAGTTATAATAATCTGCAGCTCCCTGTTGTAATCCATTTTCCTACTAGTTCAGAGAACTGTGGGCTTGCCCTTAGGAAAGGAATGTGTTCAGTTTTTATCACGTGGCAATTTGGCTTCAATCCTGAAGATACGAACCATTCTGGATCTTTCTGTAATGTTCTGTAAAACTTTGGGTAAGCCCCTTTTAACCTCCACTTCTCAGTTAACGTATGTAATAAATATAAAGACACATGACATACTTCCTG